GAGCGGGGAAGGCTGTCGGGGGTTTCTATGGTAGGCGACGGGGACGTCGCTTAATGGGAGCGGGGAAGGCTGTCGGGACAGAAACCCCTGTGAGGGTTTCTGCCCGAGTTTTTCAAGGTCAGACGCTGTCCGACTCTTTTCGCTGGATTCGAGAAACATGATGAGATTGACGTTGCCAAAGTTATTCAGACCAAACCTATAACAGAGAGACCTAAAGCCTGAGGTCGTTGACATATAACGTCGTTGACGTGTGACGTCATTGACATTCGATCAAAACGGCAGGAGTTAACGGTACGACTTGTCGTCCTCGGTTCCCGACAAGGCCGCAGTGGTGCGCGGTCATGGAAAGACTAAAGCTAGACCTAGTCTATCTAAAATAATGTCGCGCGGCTTAGCAGCTGCGCGATTCAGGGCCTAAGTAGGCTAGAAAGAGGGGCGTGCCAGGTATGGCGCCACAGGCAGGCAGGGCATGCAACGCCATAACCACTGAGGGAAGCAGGGGGAGCCTGTTGGGCTACTAAGTGGTGGTCAGTCAGGTCCCACAACCTTTCTAATAGAAGGGTTGCTCCTACTACAGCCGTAGTAGGAGCCAGCTTAGTAGGTAAACACATCCGATTGCCACTTCGCTAATGCGGGGATCGAATCCATGCGCGACCTCGGGCTGGCTCCTTTTTGGAGCAGCCGGTTGGGCCAGCGCGGCTGATTTCAACCGCTCGATCGACGAGATCGCACGGCTGGAATCAGCCGCGCGGAGGAAATTAGCATGGCCCCTTAGCAAGGATGACACGCACAAATCGAGATTTTTTTTTTGAATCCTTAGGACTCCAACCCTGGTCCGCAGCTCATTAGCTCGTGGACAAGCCACGAGATGTGACCATTGGCATAAGCCAACGGAGAGAGAGGGAAAAAAAAAAAAAAAAAAAAAAAAAAACTTAAACTAAAATGAATTGAATGTGAGGCGCCACCAAGCGCCGTCAGAAGTGTTTGGGGCACTTCAGCCCCAGAACGCTGAACAGTTGTCCGTGAAAACGGACGACCGTTCTCTTTGCTGTAAAGGAGAGTCTTTTCTTTTTTTTTGTTTTTTCTTCTTATTTTTTAGATTTTCTTTAAGTTTTTGTTAATTTTAGATCTTCTTTAGATTTTCTTAGTTAGATTTATTTTGGATTCTTTTATTCTCCTTTTTTTTTTTTTTTTCGTTTTTGACGCGCCCGTTCATTTCGTCGTGCGTGTTGCTGCTGCGATCCGTGGGCGAAATTGGATGAATGAATTTGCCACGGATCCCGGCTACGTTTGGGCGTGGGTCTTAAAACCTTTCACTTGAGTTACGGTGGGGCTCTCTGCACACATTGTCAGTGTCCTCCAGCTGCGTCCCGACAGCTTGCTCGTCGCTAGTAAAGGTCGCGACCATCGGGATGTAGTGAGAGAGAGAGAGAGAGAGAGAGAGAGAGAGAGAGAGAGAGGTGGCGACCCACCGGTAGGAACCCCCGTTCATTTCAAAAAAAAAACGGGCAGCTCTCTAAGCCGCGTGCCTGTATCTGGCGCCCATTTGAGCCACATACAGGCGCGGGGCAGGGGAAAGAAGCCTTGTTGAGCCTGATTTTGGGTCATCTCAGTGAAAAAAAGGGGTGCTGGTTCGTTTACGAATGACGAGTTGCCCCTTAACAGAAAAATCGAAGGGGGGGTACAAGAAGGGAAAAAGCAAGTAAAAGCCACGTACGTGGTCGTGGGGGTAGATTAGATATAGGGGGAAAAGAAAAGAAAAGAAGGAAAGAGGGGAGAAGAAGAGTTGGGAAAAAAAAAAAAAAAAAGGCAGTCACGAATTCGTTCGTGACCTCGATCCAGATGCAGGGTAGAGAAGCATCTGGACCTTGAAGTGACAGCAGACTGTTGATTTCAACAGTCTGCTGAGAATGGCTATGAGCCACTTCGTGGCTGCACCTGGCCGGGGGGAAGTGGCCAGGTGCTTAGCCAAAGCCTAGGACTTGATGTTCCTAGGGGAACATCAAGATTCCCAGCCCTCGATCGAAGTTCAGATCGGGGGCTAGGCTCAACCCCGTTTTTTTGGTTGAGCCTTAAGTGGCTGCCCACCACTCCAGCACAGCTATAAGAGCAGGGCTGGCCAGCAACATCCTCATGCAGTTGAGGTGCTGCCCACATTCTGATTGAGTGTGGAGTGGAGAGCAACATTATGCTGCCAGAGTGCTGAGGGGCAGTGAGTAAGAGGAGGAGTGGAGTGAGGGTCTGCAGTAAGAGAGGAAAGGAGAGGCTGCCATAGCCACTGGGTTGCATGGTGCCAGCGGGTGGTGCAGGGGAGACTCTGCCCATTTTGCACAGCGGCGGCAGGTCTTCGGCAAGTGGTGCAGGGGAGACTCTGCCCATTTTGCACGGCGGCGGCAGGTCCTCGGCAAGCGGTGCAGGGGAGACTCTGCCCGTTTTGCATGGCGGCAGTAGGTCTTCGGCAAATGGTGCAGGGGAGACTCTGCCCGTTTTGCGCGGCGTCGACAACCATTTTAGAGTGACTTTGGGGTGATGCTGTCCGCATAACAAGGCAGCAACCCGTTGACGCTGGTGATGGTGTCGTGGTGACGTTAGTGGTGATTGGTGGCAGCATTACGGCAGTGGTGCGCGAGATTACTCGGGTTGTCTTGGCTGTGACGGACATTTTGTGACAGCGTGCTCGAGTATTGACGGCAACGGTGTGGTGGTGTTGATGATGTGACGGCGACGCTGAGACGTCGTCAGATTATTGGGAAGTGATTGTGTTGTGGAAGTCGTTCGTCGCAAGGGAGTGGTGTGGATCACTTTGTTGACA